ATGTTGTACCGATATCCATCCTTTATGTTACCATGGATCCGCCAAATAACTGTAGCAAAACAGATTAATAATGGATACATAAAGGATAGATATTGAGACATAAAAAGGTTCACTTTATTTACTTGATATTTATTTTAACTCAATATTTATATTCACTTAATATTTATTATGATTCAATATATTTATTATGATTCAGGTAATAAATTGTCTTTACTATAACCCAGTTTTAACTCTTCATAACCTCGAAGAACGTGGAATGACTCAATCATTCTTTACATTATGGTTTTCCTATATAAATAAATTTTCTCGGGTTCACGACAAAAAACTGGTAATCGTAGCTCTTTGTGCATTAATCGAATTACCGGTTGAACAATTACCACATACTTTACAAGCTGGATGGTCACAAGTTTTAGATGGTATTTTGGAAGTTTTTAAATCATTACCCAAAGCCGAAGAAGGTAATCTCTCATTTTTATGCATATTTTAAGTTTGATTTAAAAAGTTTTATTTCTTTTTAAGTTTATTTTAATTTCTACATTAATAAATAATAATAATAGATCGCGCTCACTTGGAAAAACTTTATAATGATTTTGATGAACAGAACGATGAGGATCCTTTTGAAGATCTTGAAGAGGACATAGGTAAAAATGATAAATAAATAGTGAATTAATAATATTAACATTATTTTTATTAAATAATTTAAATCCTCAATTATCATCATATCAATTATTTATAAGGTGATGAGAATGTAATAGATGAGGATGTGAAATATTTAGAATTTTTAGCACAAGAAGTAAGATGATTATTTAATTATTAATTATTTATTATATTAGAATTATTATATTAGAATTATTTATTAAAAATATTTTTTTTCAGGCTGCTAAAGAAGGTAATAATCATGAAGATGACGATGATGACGATGATGATATATTAGAAGAGGAAGTCACATATGAATCACCTCTAGATAAATTAGATGTTTATATAAGATTTCGGGAAGTTTTTGTTGGTATGTTGATATGTTTCTTTCAACTGTGTGTGTGTGTGTGTGCGTGTGTCACGTACGAAAATTGACATTTTTATTAAATATTTGTTATTTGTTATTTTTTAGGAATTCAACAACATTATCCAACTTCATACGCTTTACTTACCAAAAATTTAGATCAAGATAAACAAAATTACATCATGTCATTATTTGAAAAAGCAGAACAAAGACGAAAAAGTATTGAAGAAAGAAGGAATAGTGTTCAATAATTAAATCTAGTTAGATATAATAAAAAAATATATAATGAATAACTAAAATAAATATATAAATAAATAAATCAAATAAATCAATAACTAAATAACTAAATAACTAAATAAATAAACAATTTAGTAAATGTATTATTATTTATGTTAAAAATTTAAATTATTTATTATTAAAAAATTAAATTAAATTAAATTATTTATTGTTTCGATTATTCAAACATTTTTATTATTGATTATTTATAATTTGCTAAAAATTTATTCTTAAATTCACCACTAAGATCAGATAGAATAAAAAAACTAGGAATTCCATTTTTAACAAGATATTTGGGATGTGATAAAACTTTTCTTAAATTACAATTCTTTTTAATTTTCAATAATCTTGGTGTTCCTCCTTTTTCAGTTAAATTGTATTCATAATAAATTTCAAGTTTATCAATGTTTATATATTTTTTTGAAATATCCCAAGGAGCAGAATTTTCTTCTCCAAACATAATTTCCAAATGATCTTGAAAAGTGTTTTCTTCATTAAATTCAGTAATAAAATCTGATTGTTTATATTCCGGATATAAAAATATGACTGGCCAAATTAATTGATTTTCCGAATTAAGATGTACTGATGAATTATTATTATCAATATTGTTGGTTATTTCCATTTTTATGTTACGTAACTAAAATGAAACGAAATTTTTTAATTATTGTATTGGCGAGAGGGGAGGGAGAAATTAAGAATGAAAATTATAACCAACCTTTAAAACTTTTTCTAGAGCATCTTTTTCTTCTCTTTCTTTTAGTTCTCTTTCTTTTCTTAACCGAATTTTTGTATCCAGAATTTCCTTCTTTTTAATACAACTTTCCCTAAATTTTAATAAAGTTGTATTATTTAATCCAACCTTTTAATAATATAAATATATAAATGATATAAATATATAAATACATAAATACATAAATAATATAAATACATATAAAAAAAATATATATATATTAATTTTATACTTTTATTCCATGATCACAACAATCAATTGCTTCATTAATTTTATCAAGTTCATATAAAGCTTTGGCGGATCGATAATATGCTTTAATATTTTTGGGATTTAATTTTATTGCTTTAGCACAATCTGTTAGAACTTTCCGATAATTTTCTATTATTATTTATTATAAAAT